ATAAGACTATTACAAGTATTATGTACAGCCTTTTGCAAAAATTATGAGAATTGTTGAAATATCTAAATATCATAATATCGAGTGCATGATGGGTAATCCCGTGCGATGCCCTTAGTCCCTTGTCTTTGTAGTTTAGGTTTTTTTTGGCGACAGACTTATTCGTAGTTCTGAACATTTTCTCAATGTCAACAATGAATTATTCTAGCAAACCCGCGTGTTCCGGACAATATATGGATATGGATATTATGATATTTCGACAATTCTCATAATTTTTGCAAAAGGCTGTATTTAAAAATAATAACACAATAAAACTGACATGTAGTATTCAAATAATTTGCAGGTCTCAGTGCACCAGTATATAAAGGAATCATGAAGAAAGGATACAAAATCCCTACTCCAATACAAAGAAAGGTATGATATAATATCTAGTAGGGCTCTAACATTAAAACAGTGCAAAATTAAAGCGACTTCTGCACATTTTTATTGTATTTTACTATTCAGTACATTCCTATACCAGATCCTTTTCAGTTCAACTGAAAATTGAAGGATGTACATGTAGGTGGAGACGATACCTGAGCACCCAGAATCTAGGTCGTATGATATGGTGTATGGGGATTTTTACATGTAAACCAATCAAATTATAGAATCTTTCCTTTCCAACCAGAGTTGTTAAGTTTGTGGTGAGAAGGATCTGAGTATGAGAATGTACTTAGGACTATTTGTTTATTTATTTTTTCATGGCCTTAGACCCCATACATAATGTTTTAAGTTCTTTTCTCAGGCTATACCAGTTGTTATGGATGGAAAGGATGTCGTAGCAATGGCAAGGACAGGTACTGTATCATCAAAACCTTTACTCTTTTTGGCAGTTCAAGAAACAAGCCCAGGACAAATTACAAATTGAGAAATTGTAAAACATAATTATTGAGAAATAGATCCTTTACATGATGCCTTTTGTCTCGATGATTGTCTTTTTAGGATCTGGTAAAACAGCTGCATTTTTGATCCCAATGTTTGAGAAACTTCAGTCTCATTCTGCAAAGGTATATTGAATAGACACAATTATACACCAGTAATAAAAAGCTAAAAAAATAAAATAAAAGCTAAATTGAATAATTGATTTTATTTTCAGACAGGAGCAAGAGCTTTGATTCTTTCACCAACAAGAGAACTGGCTATGCAAACACTCAAGTTCATTAAAGAGGTTCAGACATTGTTTAAGTTTAATATTCATTTATTATGAAGTTGTTTATTTAGCTTTATTTTGCATTACTCACACAGATGTTTTGTGGATTGTGCGCTTTAAATCATATTATGATCCCACATATGCTCAATACAGTAAAAGCTGTATATCTTGTTTTGTTTCCAAAGATTGGTCGTTTCACAGGTTTAAAGTCTGCTGTTGTCCTTGGTGGGGACAGTTTTGAGAGTCAATTTGCAGCAATACACAAGAATCCTGACATGTGAGTCATTTTATCCTTTTCAGTCTATAGAATCAATAGTCATTTATTCATTTCTTTTCTCATTCATTCAACCAATCTCTTTGCTTATTCAACCTTTCATTCATCTCATCTGCTCAATTGCTCAGCCATCCATCCATCTCTCCATTCAGTCGTTCATCCATCCAAAAAATTGATTTTTATCATTTACCCTTTCATCCATTTAAATCCTGTCATCCATTGATTAATTAAACATTTTATTATCTAATATTGCTTTTATTAAATTATATGAAGTGAACAGCCACTCCATGGAATCGACATTTACAATTTATGAATTTATCTGTGGTGTCTGTAAATAAAATTCTTGAATCTTGCATACTGCAGGCATTGATTTTTTATTAATTTTCAGATATTTAAATTGCGCTTTTTGTATAACAGTTGTAGAGGAATTAAAAAGGTCTAGTAAGGACGAAACTAGTTTTCCTCAAACAAATCTTGTATTTTCTGTGCGTCGAAGGTACCCTGGTTCCAGAGGCTTGTCTTTACTTTTTTGCTACTATGTTTATCGATCTGCAAAGCGGTGAGGCGTTTCCGTTAATCGGAAACACCAAAGGCAAAAAAAAAAACAGACCAATTAACGGAAACGTCTCGCCACTTTGTGGCTCGATTTATAAACATAGTAGCAAAAGACACGCCTCTGGAACCAGGATATGTCGAAGGAGGGATAACAGTTATTTGACATCCTCTAAAATGAAGTTTAGAGACTCCTTTAAAATCCAAATCCAACAAATGTCAATAAATTCATTCCGTTAACTTCATTCTGTTGTCTTCTCAGTATTGTGGCAACACCTGGTCGTTTTCTTCATGTCATTACTGAAATGGACCTTAAGTTATCGTCTGTGGAATATGTTGTCTTTGATGAAGCAGATAGGTATGTAGTAAGTGGCATATCCAGATTTTTTCAAATCTGAATTGAATGCTCTTTAACTGAGTCATGGTTTCCATCCTTTTACTGTAAATGTGATTGAGTATTTGTGGGGCTGCTGTGGGGAGGGTCACAAACATAGTCTGCAGGCCCTCCAAAACCGTGCTGCTAGAATAGTTGTAAGATCTGAGCGCAGCAGTCCAGCGATTGACTTTTTGAAGTGGCCCACGTTA